GATTTATTGTAGAGATGAGGTCTTGCTGCCCAGGCGGGTCTCAAACCTGCAGGCTCAGGTAATCCACTCACCTCAGTCTCCCAAAGGCGTGGGATTACAGGCTGAGCCACATATAAAATTTAATTTAAATGAGTGTATTTTTCGTGACCCGCCTGGGCAACTTGGTGAGACCTCATCTCTACAATAAACAAAAAATTAGCCGGGCGTGGGAGCGCGCGCCTGTAGTTCCAGCTACTTGGAAGGCTGAGGCAGAAGGATCGCCGGAGCCCAGCAGGTCGAGGCTGCGGTGGCTGGGAGCGGCCACTGCACTCCAGTCTGGGCGACAGAGTGAGACTCCAACTCAAAAAAAAAAGAGTGTATTTAAGAAGAGAATTTTGCAGACCAGGAATGGTGATTCAGGCCTGTAATCCCAGCACTTCTGAAGGTTGAGGCAGAAAGATTGCTTAAGCCCAGGAGTTCGAGACCAGCCTGGGCAACACAGCAAGACTTTATCTCTACAAAAAAATATATATATTAAGAAATTAGCTGGATGTGGTGGTGCATGCCTATAGTCCCAGCTACTCAGGAGGCTGAGGAGGGAGGATCGTCTGAACCCAGGTCAAGGCTGCGGTGAGCCATGATCGTGATCGTGCCCCTGCACTTCAGCCTGAGTGACAAGGAGATTCTGATTCAAAAAAAAAAGGAAGAGAACCTCACATCCTAATATAAAAGGAAAACTAAACTCTTTGCTACAAACAGAAGAAACTGTAAAATAAATATGATTCAAACAAGGTTATTAAATTCTAGCTAGATCCTGTGACCTCCCAAGGCTCTGACCCAAGGTTTCTTCTTCTCTTTTTTTCAAAAGGAAAAGTCTGCAACAGAGACACATAAAAGACACAGTAGCAATTCAACATTCATTCCTGATCAAAAGAAAGAGAAAAACCTCTTGGCAAAGTAAGAATGGAAAGGAACTTCTGTAACCTGATAAAGAAAATCTTCAAAAAACCCAGAGCAAAAAAACATTATACTCAATAAAAGATTCCCTTTGAAAACTGAACTAGCCGGGCTCAGTGGCTCAGCCTGTCATCCCACGCCTTTGGGAGGCTGAGGTGAGTGGATTGCCTGAGTCTGCGGGTTCGAGACCCGCCTGGGCAGGCGAGACCTCATCTCTACAATAAATCAAAAAATTAGCCGGGCGTGGTAGTATGCACCTGTAATTCCGGCTGAGGAAGGCTGAGGCGGAAGGATCGCCGGAGCCCAGCAGGTGGAGGCTGCGGTGGTCGGGAGCGGCCACTGCCCTCCAGTCTGGGCGACAGAGTGAGACTCCAACTCAAAAAAAAAAAAGAAAGAAAGAAAGAAAACAGAACTAAGGCAAGGTGCTTACTATCTATCACCATTTCTATTCCACATCACATGAGGGGGACCCATAAAAGCCCCGGAATTTATTTATTAAAAAGTGTGTATTTATTCTTACATGTTTAAACTTCAGTCACCCTCAAAGAACTCTATCTTTGATGCAGGACACCTATCAAGATGCTTTCTCCACAGCTCAAAACAGTTTTTGAACTTGTCCATTTGGATGCCTTTTAGTGCTTCTGTCAGTTTTTGTTTCACCTCTTCCATGAGGGCAAAATATTTCCCTTTGAGAACTTCTTTCATGGAGGAGGAGTCACGCGGGGGATATCAGGTGAATGGGGAGGATCATGCCATATTTGGTCAGAAAATGCTGAGCGCTCAGCACGGTGTGGGCAGGCGTGTTGTCATAGTGGGAGAATCAGTCACCTGTTTGCCACAACTCAGGGCATTTCTTCTGCAACCTTCTCAAAACTTCCATATAAAAACTTTGGTTTGTGCCGTTGCCTTGCTAAGCTATGGTGTGGCCATGTGCTCTTTGAGTTACGGCCAGGCCTAGTTTCCTGCCTCTGGTCTCCTCCCCTACCTTCGGGAGGTGAATCTCCTCTTTCTCACTCTCTAATTTACTTTCTAAATAAACTGTATTTTCTCATCGAAAACAAACAAACAAACAACTTTGGTTGGCAGTTTGATCCGTAGGAACAAATTCTGAGTGAACTACCAGGAGCCCACCCTTCAAAAGATAATTCCTTTTTGGGGGGGGGGATGGGTCCCCTATTGCATTGAAGGTCTCAGCTTGCACTGCAAGACAAGACAAAGAAATAAAAGGGAAAAAGAGAAAGAAAGAAGATACGGGGGTCATTTTTGCAGAAGATGCCATTGTCAACACTGAAAACCCCCAAAG